AACACTGAGTTCAAACTGCGAGCAAACATTTTGCCTGCACCATTGTGTGCATCGATCTCGTCGGTTTGCCCTTGCGACTCGCTATTCGATAACTCACCGCGTAATACGGCCACCTTAGTGCGGGACGTGTTTACGCACTCGGTGTTCTCGTGCGCGATAGATCACTCGCTAAGCGCTCAAACGACCGCTTACTCACTCACATACGCGCTCGCGTACCGGAATTATCCACCGGTCCTCACCGAGCCTCGTTGTCCTTGCGATGCATGCATCATTCGTTTGGTCGAGTTTGATAGTAGTAGCCCGTTCGCATCATAAATTTATTCGGTTTTTCGACGATTCGTTCGGTTACTTTCTCGCCGTTTCTGCAGCCGGCGGATAACTCGCAAATCTGATTATCGATCGGTAATCAATATCGGCGCAATTTGGCCTTACGCCAGGATATCGATGTGTCTGTGTGTACGTGTAGTATACTCGTCCTTCGACGAAACTGGCCGAACGAGTTTCGCTGATCCGATGGGGGGATGATTGAAAATGGTGCACGTGCGACACAACTAATCGCGCTTCGAGCTACTTCAAACGAACTTTCCATTATGCGTCTACCTTTGTCGCGGATATTTCTCAAATCTAATTTTGAGTGGAATTCGTCGTTAGGAATATTTTCTGAGGTATTTTAAAAAAAATTTCTTAAATATCGAACGATTGCATTGTCGATTTTTCGTTGTTTTGCTTCGTGAAATTTCAAACGTATCGCGAAATAAAATTGTCAAAGAGAATGAATTTATTTTGGTAATGAAATTATTTATATCAAGCTCGATCAGTTATGAACGAGTGTACTACTAATTGATTTTTACATTATTTCTCAAAACAGTGTAATTTAATATATTGTAATTGCAAGTAGTTTGAGTCGACGATTCAAGCACAGTCGTGTTCAAGCGTAAATAAGTAGCTTGTATCAATGGTTCCTACGACTTCAATCCTCATGAATTCAATCAGAAAAAATAACGTGATCGTACGTATATTTTCTAATTCAAAAATCCACTATATTCAAACTAAACATATAATTTCACACACGGGTATAGTAACAAAAGTTTGTTCTTTACTTTACTTTACACATTTTAAACTTCGTCATCGTGAACGAAAGAAACTTTGGCAAAACCTTAATTGTTGCTCGCGGAACAATCGCATTAGCAATTTAATTTGTATCTAAATCGATGGCCGACGACGTTTTCTTGA